TATACCTCGTCCTCCATGCAAAATTTGCTGAAAATTTGGAATGCAACGAATGGACGGACAAAGAAAGGCTGGTGGACATATACGAAAATGTGGGCTCATATTGAGGTGTAACGAACTGCTGAGCCAAAGCAAACGTATAGTGGTCTATGGAATAATAAAACAGGTTCCTTTAAAAATTGTCTACTTCTTCGACAGGAATAGCTTGCATTTTACTTTACGAATCATGGCCTCGTTTAATGTGCACACACACACACAGACGTATTCCCTACTGTTGCACATTTACGCCAGGCACTGTAGCCAGACCTCAACTAAAATAATTTATTTGTTGTTAAGTTTAGTTGTTTACATGCACCACATAGAGTAGACTTTTGGCTTAAGTGGTGAGGACATGTCAAGAAAATTGTTCTACGTGCCGAGCTGCGTGCCGGGTGATGCTGTCGTCATCATCCTCTCCTCTGTTTGTTTCTTCCTCTCCAAAGATAACACACGCATACACATAGGAACACAAACACACATACACACAACTGCAGAATTTAGTAAAACGCACATTTCACCATCCTAGATGTCAATCTTACTCGCAAAACACATACACATGTGCATAGTTTCAGACATTTGAGCACTCATACAACCATAAATGAAATAAACCAGGTTATTTCCGTTTACCATTTGTTAGACTGTGCATGGACAATATTCCTAACTTTCATATACATATCCACGCATTTAGGTGTGTAAATTGGTGTGTGTGTGTGTGTTTGAGTGTGCATGTGTGGTTGAAAGTGTTAAATTATGTACGTAAGCAAGTTGCCAAGATTTTAATTTAAGATAGTACGAAACATACAATAGCCCAACACAAGGAGGTAACTTCAAAGACAGTAACAGCATTGCCAACCAAGCAGCAGGAACAAAAGCCATGGAATGACAAGGGATGCGAGCAGAACCATTGCCAAAATAAATGGCTTCATGGATATTGCATTTGATGTCTTTAATTCAATTTAATTTGCTGAAAAATCTAAAAGGAGTCCTTAAGCCTAAATCTTAAAGCAGACCATCCAATCAAAAGTAATAAATATGGAGAAGTTATTATCCAGAAAATACATTACAAAATTAAAATAGCAAAAAATGGAAAACTTCTGAAACGTAAACAATTTTCTCAAATATAGTAAAATGTTTTGAACGTCGCCAGGTCCATATCCTACAATCAAGCAACTATTAACGGTGTAAAAACTGATAATTTTTAAAATTCGAAAAAGAAAAAAAAAAAGAACAAAATCCAATTTTTTTTAATTGTCAATGTTGAAATTGTTCAACATTTAAATTTCGTACGTTCGAAGTATTTGGATAGCTTTCATATAGTTGCAAGGTTAATCTCACCCTGCATTTATATGAAAGCTAATCAACTTCAGACTGCAGTCATTTCTAAGCCACTCGTCCGACCTATATAGAATTTTCAGATTAAATGAAACCTTTTGCAATTCAAATGAAACTTTTTAGAGCGAAAATGAAACCTTTTGCAGTGGAATTGAAACCTTTTGCAGTGGAAATGAAACCTTTTGCAGTGGAAATGAAACCTTTTGAAGCGGAAATGAAACCTTTTGCAACCGGAATGAAACCATTTGCAACCGAAATTAAACTTTTTGCAAATCAAATGAAACTTTTAGACTTTCAGAAGGAAAAATAACAAAACATTTTTATTTTTAGTAGTTTTTAAATTAAATAAATTAATTATAACTAATATATTGACAAAGAGGATTTTTTATTGATTATTTATATTATTTCTTTATTTATATTATTTATTTATTTATATTATTTCTTTATTTATATTATTTCTTAAATTATTGTAATAACAAATGGTTCTTTATTGATTTGATATAAAATGTTTCCATATTATTAAATTCCAAATACTTAACACTAAAAAGAGAAATTTAAACAAATTTTGGCCTTTATAGGTATGGCCAGGACTGAAATGTGAAATTAAGCTTTACCACAATTTTTTATAGTTATAGTATACTATTAATCTTACCTAATAAAGGATTCCCGCTTCGCAGCATTATTGATTATGGAGATAGAGCAGTCGTGATTTCAATAGACGGATAAGTGGAAATCATTAAATCAACTATGATCATGATTGTATATACTTTATGGGGTCTACGACGAATATTTAGAGGTGTTACAAACCGAATGACAAATTTAATATATCCTCCTTTCCATGGAGGATATTATAAAAAGGTACCTAATTCGGGTCCTTTCAAAATAATACCTTGAAAAACTTTTTTCAATCTTTCTGCATCTACACTTGTGTTTTATGGAAGCTTTAAGAAAAAATTTTATAAAAACATAGTTATTAATAATCAATATAAATTCCTCTTTAACTATATATTAGTTATAATTAGTTGATTTCATTTTAAACCTACTAAAAATAAAAATGTTTTGTTATTTTTCCTTCTAAAAATCTAAAAGTTTCATTTGATTTGCAAAAAGTTTCATTTCGGTTGCAAAAGGTTTCATTCCCGCTGCAAAAGGTTTCATTTCCACTGCAAAAGGTTTCAATTCCACTGCAAAAGGTTTCATTCCCGCTGCAAAAAGTTTCATTTGAATTGCAAAAGGTTTCATTTAATCTGAAAATGCTATATTAAAATTATTCCAGTGGCAGCACATTACATTCTTTAAAAACGTCCAAAAGCACTTTGGTAAGAATTTTCCAAAAAAAAGTTATTTGTGATGGAATTCAAGCGTGATAGTGTGTTTTCTTTCTATTTGGCTGGAAAACAACAAGTGGTTATCGTTAGAGCACTCCAGAATTTAAATGTGAATAAATCTTTTGTGTCTCCTACCATTGCTCTTTACCGTGATACTGGTAGCGTAGCCCGACGTCAAGGAAGTGGACGATGAAAACAGCAACATCAGCAGAAATGTTTCGGAAAGTAAAGAAGCGACTTGATCGAAGCCATTGAAATTCCAAAAAGTGCAAGAGTTTACACCGCAACAGAAAGAAAATAGACTCAAAGGAGCTAAAGAGTTGCTTCGTTTGGCCGAAAGTGGTAAACTGCCGAATTTGGTTTGCTCCGATGAGAAAACATTCGTTGTCCAGCAGTTTGTAAACAAACAAAATGATCGTGTTTACTTGCCAAAGAGGTCAGCTGAAAATGTGCACCTTCGGTTGGTCACCAGAACTCAAGCGCAGGTCATGGTTATAGTGTGGGCCGCCATAATAGACGATGGCCGCTCTCCGCTCGTATTAATCGACTGTGGCATTAGACTAAATGCCGAATATTATAGCGAAAATATTCTGGAGGGTGTATTAATGCCTTGGGCACGCAAACATTTTGGCCGTAGACCTTGGACATTCCAACAGGTCTCAGCACCATCGCACTCAGCACGCGCCACCCAAGAATGGTTACAGAATGGGTTTCCTCGTTTCATTTCCAGCGCACAATGGCCACCAAAATCTTCGGATAACAATCCGTTGGACTATTGTGTTTGGAGTATTTTGGAAAGCAAGGTTAGCACATAAAAATACCAAAGCCTCTATTACCTCAAGCAAACACTTCGCCGGGAATGGGTCAAAATACCGCAGAGCAATATTCCGGCAGCGCGTGACGGTTTCATTGGCCGTTTGAAGGCCACAGTTCGTGCCAAAGGTGACCAAATCGAACAAATTTAAACTTATTTTAAAATTTGATACTATTTCCGACAATTTTTGTTTCATTTAATAATTTAAAAAAAAAAATGTAAAAAATATGACTTTGTTGCAGTTTTTTTTCTCACCCTGTACATGTGTTTTGTCTGTATGGAGAACAACGTCGACTGAGTGCGTCGAATTGTATGTAACAAGTTAATGTGAAAAATAATCCTGTAGGAGTCGATGTTGTCGTTTCGCCCTGACCAAACAGCGACATAATTGTTTTTCCAGAGTTGTCGTGCCCACAGATGGACAAAAAGTCAAATACACATACAAATATTAACATATTTCATAGTTACCTTACATAGTTCATAGTTACATATTGTCAGCACAACTGGTGGAAATGGTCTTGTTTGGCTTTAAATATGAGATAAGTTATGATATAAGGCCCAAAAATACATAAAACGTATAACGAAATGAAGTCTGATATTAATCATATTCAAAGTTGGCATATCGGCAGAGCAAAGAAACCCATTTGGGGAAAACAGGAATTAGAACTCTTTTTAAGTATTTTCGATTTAGAATTTTTCCAATGCACATACCTTCAAGACAATACCGTTTTCTATCCGTTTTATGTCGTGATGTGTGTTTTCATTTCTCTAGCAGTTGCAAATTCAAGTATTCAAGTATAACTCTTTGCCTTCGATGTCTCTCCGGCACTTGCTTTAACTTGCAGTACTGCTCATACTCATCTACCGACCTGAAAACACAAAACTCCATCCTTCTCACAATCGCACATTTATGCTTTGAAAATCGCTCATCGTTTCAAAAGTCTCTTAGTTTTATTCAAATATTTTTGTAATTCAAGCAAAATTAAACTCATCATTTAATTGTAAATAACGAAACTAAATCAATCTTAAATAAAATGGGAATATAAATCGGACGAGAGTGAGAGTGTATCTGGCGATGCTGTTGGTGGTCGTGTTCGTGGACGACGTGTGTTTTTGTGGACCATTCTGATTATGGAATATCCAGATTTTATACGATATATGAGTTTTCAATGATGTTCGTAGTAAAAATTTGTTTTTTTATTTAAAATTACAAATAAAAGTTTACATAATTCAAATACGAAACGAGAGAGAGAGAGTATGTGTGTGCTAGGTGGGCATGTGTGCGTATGAGTTTTGGGTGAGTAATGCGTAATTTGATACTAAGAATATAGGCAGATTTAGTTCTTTTTTTAAGATATAAACAGGGGAGAGAGAGAGCGCGTGTGGGCATGTATGTAAACACAAGAGAGATATATAAAGAGTGTGAGTGAGAGAGAGAGAGAGTGCGCGATTGAAAACGCCTTACATAGAATCGTGATTATGAAAAGATGTTGTTGTTTGTTTTCATACGATATATGTTTTCATGTTTATTTGGAGAAATGTTCTTGTGGTTTCATTCATTTTTTATTTTCTTTTTCTATAAATTGTTGGTATTAAAAAATCTTTGGTTTTTGTGGCTGTTATCGGTAGATAGCGGTAGAATAAGCTAATAATAACTATATTGTTTTGGTGGTTTTTATTTTTATTAAATGTAGTTAAATTAATTTATTCTTCCTCTTCTTCCTCCTCCTCTTCTTCCTCTTCCTCCTCTTCTTCTTCCTCCTCTTCTTCTTCTTCCTCCTCTTCTTCTTCCTCCTCCTCTTCTTCCTCCTCCTCTTCTTCTTCCTCCTCTTCGACGACCTCCTCCTCGACTTCTTCATCTTCCTCAGCGATTTCATCATCAGCCTTGGCATCTTCCTCGCCTTCGGGTGTTTCGGGCTCGCCAGCCTTCTTGCCGGGTCTTTCGCCGAACCACTTGGGCAATTTGGCTATTTTGGGAGAAAGAAAAGCTCAATTAGAAAAATCCAGAATATATAAAGCATTTGGTGTTGGACAAAAAACATTAGAACGCATTTCCAACAAAAATCAAAATTGGTCAGGACAAATGCGTATGAACCAGAGTATCCATTCGATTAGTAGAGAGACAGAGTGAGAGAGAGATACACTTAAATACATACACTTTTGACGGCCGGCATATTGATCCTTCTTTTCGTTCCAGATCTTTTCATTGACCTCCTTGCCGAGTTCTTCCCAGCCCTAATGAGGGTTATTAGCATATGAGACAACAAGATGCACACACACACATAGACAGATAGATGGGTAACAGTTAACATGTAAAGGTTAAATCAACGTCATCATAAAAATAGACAAGAGTAGAAAAGAAAGAGAGAGAGATACATGTAATTGTTGTGTAACTGTATTGAGTGTAGCTGTGGGGAGAGAGAGCGTAAGAGTATAAATATATGTTGTGATTGATGCAATAGCCCTCCCATTCCATTTCGGGAGATCTTTCATGAACTGTGACTTCTGAGAGGGGAACAGGGTGTTCTGACAGTGTGCGGAAGTTGTGTTGCTGTAATTGTTGGGTTTGAATTCGTTGGATGGTTAATTGAACATTAAAACACATTTCAACACAACCGGAGCAGTAGCAGAAATATGTTGATTGGACCTGCTCCGCGTGTAAAACAAAACGCAACATATGGACATGTAAACGAACATCACTTCACAACTTAGAGCAGCAAAGTAGCTATGCTATAGCTTACATTTTGATCGTTGTGTGAACCGCTCTTGTCTTTCTTGCCAGACTTTCTCTAAAGTTTCCTTATAGAGCGTGTCGTAACCCTTTGAAATGGCAAAGAAACGATTACATAGATATTATTATGTTGAGGGTGGAGATTTTCGTCCACATTTTAAGAACCCATTGCATTGAATCACAGAGTTATGGTAATCAAAAATAGAAAATGAATTGGATGAATACTTACACCTTCGAAGAGCTTCTTCTTGTCGTCGTAAGAGCGGGTATCTACACGTCTTTCGTATTTGGAGGCAACTTGAATCTTGGGCGGGTATTTGCCAGTCAAAGCTTCGGGGTCGAGACCCTTCTTCAAGGCTTTGTGCCTGAGCTGTTGTTTCTGTCTTTCCTTCAATTCTTTCAACTAGAGGGAGAACGGGTGAGAGAAATCGGAGTCATGACACTGTTTGGCATGGGGTAAAACTCAACGGTATACTTACATCGTAATCCTGACGTTTCTGCCTTTCTTCCAAGTCATACTTCTCAGTTTCCAATTTGACGATGAGTTCCCACAATTCTTGGGCCTTCTCGCGCAATTTATCCTCGCTCAAGCCTTCGATGGCAAGAGGCTTGATACGGAACGACAGGGAGATCTTCTTCTCTTCCTCGAGTTGTTCCTTAGTCTTGTTACGCTCCATGGCAGCGGAGGAGAGACCCAACTATATTGTGCCATCACGTTCATACAGATCACACAATCATACACACACACAAACATACAGAGACAGACACGCACACAAACAAGAGGACATTTACACAAAGAGACAGACAGGCAGAAAGACCGACAGACGGACAAACAAACGACAGATACAAGAAACATATGTGTGTGTCACATATAGATTTGTATGTGTGATTTAAAGGTGGCGAAAGAGAAAAAATAAAGAGTAACAAGTGTTTAGAATTGTTGTTGTAGTTGTTGGTGTAGAAAACAAATTATTGTAGGCATAGGCGTAGTAGTAGGCGGTAGGTAGGTTGGTAGTAGGTAGTAGGTAGATGGGTGAACAGTAATTTGAATATTTTACAGAATATTTGATTTGTTGGGACCGATAGGAAGTGGCAAAGTTGAGGAAGAAAAAATATTAAAAGAGAGAAAAGAAAGCCACATAAGTATACAGCAATGCAGTAGATTGAAATAATTACCACGCCTGTGTCCTTCTTGGCGATGGTGAAGTTGGGGCCCTTCTTGTCCTTGTCCTTCATGGCTTGGAGCATGGCTTGGCGCTTCTTCTCGGCTTCTTCGAGGCGTTGACGCTTCTCTTCGATTTCGCGTTGTTTCTTTTCTTCAACTTCGCGAACGCGGCGTTCCTCTTCTTCCTTCTTGCGTTGAGCCATCTTTTGCTCTTCTTCGGCGCGAGAGATCTTGCGCTTGGCTTGCTTCTCCTTGAGTTTCTTCAACTCATCTTCTTCCTTGGCTCTCTGTTTGCGCCATTCGGTGATGTATTCCTTCAATTGTTCATCGAGGTCGGAACGCTTTTGGTCCTGGCGTTTGATGAACTCTGGATCACCCTCACCTCTGTAGCGCGAAAGATAGGCAGAGAAATCGAAATGTTAGTTATGTGTCTTTGCAAAAATCAAAAACCGAGCAAAGCTGTTCACAAAAAAGTTTCTATTGATATATATATTGTGTAAGTAGTATACATATGCATATATGTATGCGTGTACTAGTATGTATGTATATATGAGTATGGAACAATTCGATTCTGAGGTAAATTTTGGGCATTGGATACAAAAAAATATATATCGAAACGATGCAATTCCAAAAACCACAAACATACATACATGAGTAGCACTACTCTACATATGCTTGGCAGAACACATTTTGGCTACGTGATACAACGCATAGTTACATATTTACAACATATACAACACACGCACACACACGTACACACAAAACACTTAGTAAAATATTCTATCTATATTTATTTGCTGAAGGCAAAAATAACAAAATATTCCTTCATTTTTTTTTTTGTAACAAAAAGCAAATCAATTACATATGTATTGGTGAAGGGGGTGGGTAGAAAGTGGATGGGGTGTGGGTAATGGAATTTCAAACACCACTAATCAAGGCAGCTCTCACACGTTGAGAACTAATTTGAAACAGCACTTCTTTGCCACGTCATTAGCCGAACAAGTGGCACGCGAAGTGCCAACACTCAATCAGACGTTGAGCGAGAGAGTGCTTCTGTTGACACCTCCAGTACTCAATTAATCTCAAGCCATTGATTTCGATATTGAAATCATAAATAGTATTGAAATTCAATATGTGTCGAAGCGTAAACAGATGTTGGCAGCCTGTTGATATTGTCGCCATCTCTTTGTGACGCTCAATTTCACATGTGCACATACGCACTAACACCAACTAAAACAGCAACAACAAAGTGTTTCGTCTCTGCCGAAACATGTTAATATCCGTCCAACATGGTAATGGCACTGTTCTTAGGAAGCGCGCGAGAGATAGAGAGAGGGAACTTGAGAGTGGGAGAAAATAAAACTCTAACCGAACCGAAAGTGCCTGCAGAATGTCCGTGTGAATGTGTGTTTTGGAATAAATGATGGCTTGCTCTCAACGTGACCCAGTGCGTATCAGTGATTTTATTATTGTTGAGGAGGGAAATATTACGTATACGTCAAACAAATGAAACCGTACTTGAGACCGAGTATCTGGAGTATGGCGCTGGTGGCTTGGTAGCTTGGTGGGTGGTTTTGATGTTAGAATACAATGTATAAATCATATGACACGTTTTTATTTACTTGTTATCGTAATGTTATGACGATTATTATTGTTATTACTGCTTTCATTGTTTCTATTATTACTTATTACTATTGTTTTTATTGTAATGTTCACGCACAAAAAGCAAAGTGTTTGGTGGTCGTGGTGTTCTGTGTTTGTTTCAATGTATGAGAGTGTTTGTGGCCAAAAATTGAACATTCAGTTTTGTTATGGGTTGACAAGTGGGTGATAACTACAAAAAAGGGCTCGAACAGTAAAAATGTTTTTTTTTTTTTTTTTGCAATTTTGATAGTTTAGAGGAGAATAAGTGAGGATTGTTTTCAAGGGATGTCGACACAAACACGCCAACAAAATTTTGTCATGGGGTGTATGGAAAAATAAAACCTAAAATTACAGTTTACTGTAATCTTTTCTTTTGGGGTTTGGAAAATGGTTGCGTGTTTGTGTTGTTGAGCTTTGGAATGAGGAATCTTAAATATGGAACATATATGGCTTGGATGGGGAAATAGTAAGAATTTCGAGAATTTGCTAGAGCTTGAGGTTATTTACTCTAGGCCCGCAATTAGTTAACAGGCAACATAGTTACGATATGTACAATAGCAACAACAACAAAAACAACTATGACATTTGTGTGATTACTGTTCACTTTTACAACAATGCTTAAAACAAATCACTTACTCGGCTGGTGTCTGAGGTGGTTTTCTGTACACGCAATCGAATATTTAATAATTTTATTTGGTAATGATGATATTTGATTTGTTTAGAGTGTTGTTTGTTTGGTTGTTTGTTTGTTTTGTATAGATAGCAACGAACAAAAAATATTTATTTTGTTTTATAGTTTAGCATATGTGTGGATGTGGCCGCCGGTCGTGATGATGATTGCGAGCACAAAAAATAAAAGTATCGACAAAATGTTCGATTCGTTACAATTGAATACGTTTCGTTTCAAACAAAACAGGAAACAAAAACAACATTTACAACAAAAAGTGTTTGTTTTTTTTTTTTTTTTTTTTTGGTCATTGAAATAGGAAAGAAAAAAGAAAAGAAGGAAATCAAACATTAAAAATAAGGTCCATCTTCAAAAATAGAAATAAAAGAACATGAACGAATCTAAGCAAAAAATCATTGTGCACAAAGCAATTGAAAAAAGGAGAGAAACCTTGAATGAGATTTATACAAATGATTTGAACGAAAGATAGATAGTTTTTTTTTTTTTTTGGAAAATTTTATGAAATTTTTGCTTAGATCTTCAAAGAAAGATGAGATGAAGTCATTTTGATTTTTATAATTTGTTTTTTTTTTTTCATTAACGGCCAAAGTAACGAAAAGGCTTTGAATTCAGAATTTCAATAACTTACTTCCTGAAATTAAATAAAGAAATGAAGGTAAAATAAAATTTGTTTTCATGTTTTGGCAAGGTAGACGACAACGTTTAGTTCAAGCCAGGATGAAAGTTATTTGAAATATTTTTTTGTTTTCTTTTTAATAGAACACCAATAAAGTAAAGAGTTGGGGTAGGGGAGAATAGTAATCCAATTTAATTTCTTCTGTTGTTGGCCAATTACAAACAAATTCGAAAAGATAGAGATAGAGACTAGCACTTTTTCTTTGAGGAATTTAGATGTTTTCTCTTTTTACACAGTAGATTATTATATATTTGGAGTGAGGAATGTTAATGCAATTTAATTTTCAGATATGGCAGTGTACTTACTCTTTGACCTCCTCGACAACCTCCTCCTCCTCTTCGGAACTGCTTTAGGTAAAGAAATGTTTTCAATACGGGAAACATTTTCACACAAAACATTAACACATGTGGGAACCGATAACGAACAAACCATGGTATGGGCGGGCATTTGGATACAGATACAGATTCAGACACAGGTGGTATTCGTCAATGTGTGTTGTTTGTATATAGTATGTGTATAGTTCAGGATAGAGATCGGGTAACAGACAGGTGTAATGGTATGGAGGGGAAAACGTATGAAAGAGAAAACAGAATGACTTTAAATAACGAAAACAGACGAGGAACACAATAAAAACTCTATACAAAGACAATTTATTCCCCAATTTCCAGGAGACGCTTATAGCAATATATATTCAATATATACAAATTACATATACAAATTCGAATGCTAATCTACATGAAATGTTTATTTTTACATTCTTAATATACATACACGAAGGATACAAGGACATTTCCATTTGATGTAATTGTATTGGAGGCGGTATGTGTGTATGTATTTATTTGTTCAAATGTTTGAATTGTGGTATTTTTGTAGTTGTTATTTTATTTTTACAGACAGACAGGCAATGTCTGTAGTGATGAATCAAGTAATTTGTAATGTTTTTGTTTTTTTTTTTTTTTATTTAAAAAATTGCTCGAACCGAATTTGACGATGTAATGCCCCGCGAAATTCTGAAACTTTTTGGGGCAATACTTCGTTGTGTCGTTCTGGAATGTCTTTGTTTGTTTTCTAATGTGGATTTAGCCGCTTTGCAGTTAATACTTACGTGTACTCCTCATCGTCGGACATGGTTATGGTTAGGGATTAAAAAAACCTGAAAGAAAACAAATAAAAGAAATGTGTTACAAAAGTGTTGTTATTCGAACAAAAACATCTAAATATGTCAAACATGCACTATTCATATTTCAGAAAAAAATTAAATCAAATTCAAAATCGGAATGTCCTATTACTATCAATAATAATTCGTAGATGTGTATGCAGATTCCAAAAGTCCGTTCTGTTTTCAAAGCAAAATTCGATAGTGGCTCTAAAATTGTTGGGCAAATTATTTAGGTTGTTAACAGGTTTGACCTCTAACCTTTGAGACTAAAAAATAATGTTCGGTACGTTTGTAAACAATGCAGCACAAATCAATTGAAGAATATCTTAGATTTCTCTAAGCGTTTTCAACTCCAAAGGCAAAAATAACACCCACGATTACTTTCAATTCGTCTATTTAATGCCAATCGAATTCATAATCAAAGCTAATACACATCATTTATTTTACCAAATACTAAACGTAAACAATTTTTAGTGAGATTACGCATCAGACAGATTCTAAAATTAGATCCTGCTTTATAGACAGCAGCACATAACATGCTGGGCATACACAAGTACGTTCACACAAATATACTCATATATCCATGTGTCCAAGAGCGAATATATACATGTACATACACACCCATGCATGTGTGTGTGTGTTCGTGTATTACTTTATGAATATAGAATATATCTCAAGGAGTATCAAACATACAAATGTATTTGTGTATGTCATAATTTTCTGAAAAATGAAAATATGCTTGTGTGTGTGTATGTATGCTCGCCCGCATATTTTCTTGTATCGCTCTTTAGTATATATACAATAGAAGATCTGCATCTAGGCACTAATATTTGCTATGTATACATAGGTGGAATATACGTGTTAGAGAGAATGCCTGTGTGTGTGAGAGAAAATGAGTGAGAGAAAGTGACCATACTATTTCATCGTACAGTGTACTGGCTCAATATATATATATATATTTAAAAATAGATCGTATTGAATTTCCATGAGAGCTCTTTAGTCTCTTTCGATCGAGCAAGCTAAGGAGCAACAGAAGAGACTTTTTACCTTGGCACAAAAAATAGCAAAAATATTATTTCACTACCTTTCGTGTGCGTGTTGTATTCGTAAAATAGTTCTTCTTTGCAGGTATTATAAATGGATTCGGAGATGAAGCAATATGTGGGCGGTGACCAAATATTTCCCATTGATAATTGAATTATATTTTATATATCTATATCTACTAATTAAATTATTAAAAAAAATTAGGGGCTGTGTCTATGGCTTTGTGTGCATGTGTAAGTGTGTATCTTTTTCAAATGAGTGTATAGTGTGTATTCGTGTTAAAGCTATTTATATAATACTTCATATTTCCAGACATAGCTTGGCTTATTCCAAAAAGTTGATCTGCTTATGAGCTATCCATGCATCAGTACTTCGGCTTATTACACTTTTACACATGCACACAGCTTTTATTATTTTTTCAAGTCTACTTTTCTCATTGTCCGTCCCAGGCAGCAGACTCTATTCTTAATTTTCGTGGGCCACCGGGACAATTGCAAAATTTCTTTATTTTATTTTATTTTATTTCGTTTCATTTGTTTTCTGTTTTCGTTCTTGTCTCGGCTGCTGCTGGTGCGATAGGAAGCAAATATGCGCTGCCAGCCGAGAGCAGTCGGTAACAAATATATCATGTAACACTTTGAGGTTGCCAGTTCTAATAGAATGTCCTATTTTTAGAACGCGTAGAAAAACTGAAACGATTCGTTGAAAATAGTACAGGATGGCGAATATATTTAACACTCGAATTCAATTTTCAAATATTTCACTCAACTACGGATTGCATTTCGAAATAGTTTTTCTAAATTACAGTTATATTCACTTTAGTTTATTAATTTTATTGATAAGTTGATGTGTTCCAATATTATATAACTCCTTTCGTTTTACATTGACACAGAAAGTTGTGTTGAAATAGCTCCTCGCCCAGTTGGGTTCCATCCGATTTGTAGTTAGAATTTTAATTTAAGGACTATCACTTTCATAAATTTTTAATAAAGTCTTTTTCCATATTTTTCTTTATTAATTTTACTTTTTAATTTTGATGTTTTTTTTTTTGGTCAGAACTTACTTCGGGAAAAGAAACAAATTAAACTCTCTACTGTTGTCCGAGCAGCTGACGTCGTTGGAGCGAATGCTGCGGTTCGACTAAACAGACTGACGATCTACCAAGAAACAACACGCTATGTTAAAGATTTTTTTCGGAAAATAGAATGTTCAGTTTTTCATCACCACTACACCGACAGCTGAGAATTTTCCAACGAAGCAAACAAATGGAGGCTGCATGCTCTTGCATCGCTTTTTCTTGTGTATATACGAGGTTAGCCGAGAGTACTTGGGCGTATGTGTTCTATCTCCGACAGACATCCTAGGGAGAGTCGTTGTCTGACGTTATACTTTGAATGCTCCTCTATGCTTTCCTTTCGTGCCAGACAAGGAGAAAGAATGCAAGGTGAAAAGAGATATCGAGCAAAAGAATGGCACCTACACAGGTTGTAGGGGGGATGAAGGGAGGGGGAGAACATTCATTTGGCTTGCGTTTTGAACTGATCGTGTGTGCTGATATATATGTTTGTTGTGTGTGTGCGCGAGTTAGAAGATTCTATCATAAACATCTCATTTCGTTATTAAAGCTCATAGCATATTTTTGAAATAGAAACTTTCACACACACATCTACACAGACAGATTTTTGTGGGTGTGTGCGTATACATTTGTTGGTGTATTTATGCATATTTATATATATATAATCATGATCTATACCTGAACTGTTTTGAATATTTTCATTGTAGGTGATGAATATCGATCGTGGGTGGTTGAACAAGAGAGAGATTCGTTTGCTGAGTCGTTTTCTTCCCAGTGCTGTTCATGTGACGACAACAATTTTTAATGTTAATGTTATTCCAATTTGTTGTTGTCCGTTTCAAATATGGCCAAGTATCGTTTAACACGATTAACTCAATTTGTCCATCGAATGCTCGCTATGTTCACCAACACATTCCCCATTCCATTTCATTCCATCCTCTCTACTTTGGAATATACATATTTAAATGGACTTGCTTCAACAAAATTCTACCCACTTGGCGTAATGACGTTGGCGATCATTGCCACGAATTCGGTGTCCCATTGTTGCCTCATACTTTCTACAACCACCTTCACTTTGTGATCGTTGGCACGCATATATACATATACACATAATTACAACAACGTTTTCGGCAACAACAAACATGCCAAACAAATATTTATCAATGGGCACTGGGCCAACGGAAATTTGCATGCATTTATTGACTTCCTTTCAGACTTACAAACACAGAACTTTGCATTGGTTTGTCAGCGAGACATGAGAAAGAAGTATAGAAACCAATGGACCTTTCTTAGCCTTTGAACTAGACCTACATCTAGCTTCACCACCCCTCATTTCCATTCCTTCTCTTACAAAAATTTCCATTTCCACCCACAAGATGGAACGTCACCGCAAAAAGTTCCTGCATTAGGGTCATCGTTGTGGGTGCACAGAGACGGTGGGTGGGGGTCAGCATTTATTCTCCGGATTTATTTTTGTTCTACTCATTGTTTTCATATTAAATATGTAAGTATGCCCCTGTACATAACACATGCGAATGTGTCAGTGTGGCAGTCTATGTGTATGTGTGATCTCACACTGGCACATCGGCAGAGAGAGAGAGTCCACATATTTTTAGCAACCAAAACACATATGTATGTCGGTCTGTACGCCTGTCTATTTGTTTCAGATGTTTCATATATGTATATTCTTGATATTTATATCATTTTCATTTTATTTTATTTAGTTCTTGTTTCTTTTGTTGCCCGAATTATTTTCCTCTCCTCTGTATAGATATGTCTGTATGTAAACAAAATATTTTTTGGCTTTTATAAAAATTCTTATTCAGTATTAACAAATCTATAATAAAGAAATGCGTTCCTAAAATAGGAATACAAATTAAATAATTCATGATATTTTGTAATCTGGCGAATTTCAGAAATTGCTTAATTTTTTTATAAAATATTTGCAGAAATATTTTAAAGATGCAACTCCTCATGGTAGGAAAATTACTGTTTTCCAGAATTACGAGAATGTAAAACTTTTTACTACCAAAACAGATTCTTCCTTTATGGTGCCGAGAAAAAATTGCAAAACTATTAGATTCTTCCAGGCTCTGGAACAGACCATTTTTTTCAACTTTCATATTTGTTTATTCATTGTCAAATGAAGAGTAAATAAAAATTAGTAGTTGTCGACGTTTGAGAACAACTGATCAGTGTTGCCGTTTTGGGCGTTTCCGTCCAAATTTGGGCGGAAAAAAGATAAATTTTGTGGTTTGGGCGGATTTTGGGCGGATTTTTTCCATATTGGGTACAAATTTATTTTTCATTGTTTATTTTTACGCAATTTAATTTTTTTATTACTAACTGAATTTTATATTTTTATTGAGATGAATCGTTATTTATTTTATAGATTTTTGTTAAGTTTTTTAATAATATAAATAATACATTAGGCTAAAGTCGTGAGGGGCCGGCCATGTGATACCCTACAACACTACAATATGTTAGAAGCCCCCTCATGTCCAAATCCATTTTGGAAGATTTCGCTTTTGAAATTATGTGACGGAGCACTGCCCAGATATTACCCTTAGCATTTTGACAAGGGACATTTTCCCAATATTTATGCACTCCGTCGTGCTGTTAGTTTTTGTGTTCCATTTTAGGGCTAAATATATTCCAATAGTCATCCAAAATGCCAGAATTCTTCCATGTGCTTACCTATTTTCTCAGGCGTGTCGATTGGCTTCAATTGTGTGATCAGGAATTTTTTTCTGTTTTTGGTTCATATTTATATATGAATATATTGCGGACATCTTTGAAAACAATAGGCCTTGCCCTTCTGAGCCTAACCCTTGTGAAAAAATTCGTGAGGATCGAACGATAATTGCAATCTGTATATAAATAATAACCCTAACCTGTGTTGTATTATAAGTCAACTTGAAAAAATCGCATGCGAAAAAAAAATGAAAAAAAAATAAAGAAAATGTCTCAAAATACTACAAAATCTATATGAACATCATTATTGGTATCTTTTTATGCGATTTTGTAGTATTTATACTTTAATGCCACAAGGGCAATTGACAAAATTTGTCAAAATCGCTCCAGCCATTGTGAAGATATAAGCATTCTAGCTGACATCCCCTTCCTTTGTATATATACATTGTATATATTTCTCTATATATATCCGATATTTTTACTATCGGCATCTACGTAACGGTCAGAATTGACCTGTTCGTCTATTTGTGATTTCGCCGGCAGTAAAAATATTCGCGGATTAATGGAAAAATTTACTTTTATTTATCGCAAATGCTATGGTCTACTAAACCACTAAATATTACCCGATGACCATCAAAATTGGAAGGCTTCTGCCCAGTCCAAAGCTCTAGCCCCATGCTAAACTTCGCTTCGATTGGTCTATAATTGTGACCTGTAGAGCAACTGCAAAATCAGGAAATTTCAGTTTTTGGTCCATTTCAACCCCTAAATATTATGCGATCATCTCCAAAAGAAATAGGGTTCTATTCTGACCTTAACCCCAGCTACATTCTAAATTTCGTGAAGATCGGGCCATAATTGCGACCTGTAGAGTGATTACAAATTTACATGGACATACATAGCTAGATCGACTCAGCTCGGTGAGATAGGAAGATCCATATATACTTTGTGGGAAACCAATATTTCGTGGTGTTACATAATTTTTGGCCCAATCAAACTTATAATACCCCCAACACATAGTGTTGTAGGGTATAAAAACCTGAATAATAATAATGACTTAAATGTATTTAATACATTGAATTCTTGTATTATGTTACTTTTTCAAATATGTATATAAAAAACAACTTGAAGTAAAATAACATAACATTTTTATTTTCTCTAAAGTATTTAATACATTGAATGTAATAAACTTGAGTACCTTTTTTATGTATAGTGTAAAATTGTCATTTTCTTACTTGAATACAAACTACATATAAATTATTCAACTTTTTACAGTTTGGGCGGATATGGTCGATTTTGGGCGGTTTTTAGAAAAAATTTGGGCTGAAATAAAAATTTCAAACGGCAACACTGCAACTGATGCCAGTTTTTGTAGTATGACGAATCTCACAATATACAATCTGAATTGAAATTGTAATATTTCTTAACGTAAATCTGAGATTGTAAGGTATTCAGAAAAACATAATCAATTCTCGAATTCTTAAAAACTCGTAACAGTTTCCAAACTGTAAAATAAAGCTTTCGTTTTCGTTCTAAGACTTCGAATCAGCTTTTGGTACATAATTGACCAAACATGTCAATATCTCTTGCATACATTTTCGGATGCGAGTATTTGGTTGTGTTTACCCGTTTTCAAATATAAAATTTTGGAAAATTATTCGACAGTAATTTCTTGTCTATCTTTTGAAAAAAAGGAACACATATTAAAGACATATTTAAAGTGACATTTTCAATATTTATCTTTAGCATTTTTAGTGATTTGAAAGCAATATCACGAGATTTAAATTGTGATCCGAATCGGGTGACCCCTTCATCATTCACATAGAATGCACATTATTGTTATAAGTCATATGTATTAAGGAATTGGAATCAGCGTCCAAAAATAAACATTATGGTTCTGTAACGAACCGAGATGGAGTGGTACACAACGATAATGTACCGTACAATAATACAAGGCCGGCCGACTTTATGGTAACCTGCACCAATTTGCATATTTAGTAGAGCTACCCATAATATATTATCGATTTTGAATGCCTTTTATGACTTTAAAGCAGATGTAATTTAAAGCCCAAAATAACTTTAATATGGGAGTGCATCCTACTCTTGTTCGATTTCTACTAAATTTGACGAACTGAACCGATAATCATTTAAATCCATCTTCTGATTGAGAATAGAAGCGTATCCAATAAACTAAAATTTTAAAGAAAATAATATGTTATGGCGATTCCTCTAAAGCTAATAAGAGCCATTTACGATTTTTAAGAAATACTTATGAAATTTTAGTATACAGTGTTTTTTACAACTATCAGCACCGAGAATGTTTCCTTAGGACGAAGTGTTTAAAACCTCTATTTTTATATGTTTAAACTTAAGACAATATAAATAATATTCCTTTTTCTAAGATATTTTTATAAAATATGCCACTCGTCATACGTAAATCC